AATAAAAAAAAAATATAATAAAATTTAAAAAATAAAAAAAAAATTAGAATATAAAATTAAAAATTAGACCAATAATAACAAATTAAAAAATAAAATTAAATTAAAAAAATAAAGAAATAAAAAATAAAAATTAAAAAAAATAAAATTTAAACAATAAAAATTAAAACAAAAATAAAATTTAAACAATAAAAATTAAAAAAAATAAAATTTAAACGATAAAAATTTAAAAAAAATTAAATTTAAACAATAAATAATAATAAAAAATTTTTTTTCAAAATGATAATAACAAACCAAAAAAAACCACACAAATGATTTACCAATTGTATTTTTTACTCCCACAGCCAGCGTTTTTGGGCGTGTATTGCTGCGCAGCACTGCACACGCAGGTCGCGATTTTTATCGTGAGACGCGCTGTCGCGATTTCATGCATCGTTTCATATCCAGTGACATTGGTGGCACATTGTCGACAGGTACTGCCGATAGCAGCGGCGGTATCAGCGGCGTAGACGGTAACGCTAGTGGCGGTAGCAGTAATGGCGGCGGCGGTGGCGATGGCAGTAATACTGCTCGTATTAATGCAATTAATTAAATTTAATGTCTATACTATGCTATTGCTATATTTTTGTTGCTAACAATTATTTGTACAATGCATTATTTTAGTTTTGCGTATCTGTAGTTATTTAATGCTTAAGTTTATGTTATCTGTTTGAATATAATGCAATATATAACTGCTTATTTGCATGACAAATTGTTGCAAGTTACGACATTCGCTTGCTTCTCTCAGCTGTACTACAACTGTACACGATAGCATTTCTCAAGAATTTATTTCTTAAAAACGATTATCGCGCATTAATGACTTAATAACAGCAACAACGTGTGCGTGGCTAAGTTTGATGAGAATGATTACTTAATGCTCTGCTATTAATTTAAACGCTTAAACAAAATATAAATGTAAACGAATTTCGCGCTAATGCAAAAAGATATGTGTATTAAAAAAAAAGATATATGTATTAAAAAAAAAAATTAAAAGAAAAAAAATATATGTATAAAAATTTTAAAATTTATAAAATATTTACAGCGAAGCATTTAGAAATGTACACCGCTTGTACTTCTATGAAGAAGATAAACACTCAATGTCTAATATATACAAAAAAAAAAATCTCACGACGCTTAAGGTCTATGAAAACATTAGTGTTCGATATACTGTAGAAAGTAGTGATCTGTATTTTTTTTTTTTGGCATTTAGCTAAAACCGCAAAAGGAATAATTTCGTGCAACCGGTTAATATAATTGCCTTATTTACAAATTGTGTCTAGATTATTTGCGGTCTAAACTTATATTCCACGTATTTAACAAATAATGAAAAAAAAAACATTTATTCGTTTTTGCTGCATTTAAGCGGAGTTTCTGCCTAAATGTTGCGCTGGTTGAGTATGCAAACGTACACACATACATATGAACATTTGTGAAAAACAATAAAAGTTGATACAAAAGCAGTACGTTTGCAAAATGGAATTTTTGGAGGTTATATACATTAGTCATAAGTTGATGATAGCTAATTGTCGGTTTGTTAATATGTTTGTCTTAGTGTTGAATAATAATTGAAATTATTACAAAGTGCAAAATATCGAAATAAATGTATGTATGTATATTAACAGAATAATTTTTGATTTTGATTTTAATTTTTTTTTAAACGATATAAATTAATATATTTTGCGATAAACATATGAATATCATAAATATAAATTTAAATAAATAAATGTATGTAGTTTCTTTTACAGTTTGTTGAGATCAATTAGAATTGAAACCCGTTGAGAGAAATGCGTTGATATGCATGTAAAATGATATATTGATCAGAAATATTTGGAGGACTAACAATAGATATTACTTTGTGGAAAAACATTAATAAAAACAAAAAAACCAGAAAAAACGTTAACTTCGTTTGCAGCGAAACTATAACAGCCTTTACACATAAAAAAAAAAGTTTCCATACAAGAACTCGATATGGATCGAACAGTTTGTATGGCAACTGAGTGAACTGAACAATTTGTTGTAGCGGCAGAAAACATTACTGAAGTAGTCTCGAGCAATGATGCCAAGTTGACAGCCCTTGGCCGGATAAAAATCCGTGTTCGCTCCGTTTACTTAGACCCGACTGTCGTGGGAACAATTTCTGAACAATTTCTTCGGAAGTTAACGCTATAACCTTAGGCAACAATCAACGCCGAGAAAGAAAAAAACAACACATGAAAAAACGTTAACTTCGGTTGAACCGCAGCTATAATACCAAGGTGGTACCGTTGTTTGGGACAACAAGCTATGTCAAATTTCGTGCAGATATCCTGTAAAATAAAAAAATGTTCCATGCAACGACTTGATTTTGATCGTTCAGTTTGTATGGCAGCTATAAACTATAGTGGTCTGATACCGGCGGTTTCGATAGATGAGCAGGGGAGAAAAGTGCTTGTGTAGAATTTCAAATTGATATCTCAAAAACCGTATGCATACAGACAGGCAGACTAAATCAGCTCATCATGCTGATCATATATGTACATATATATTTTATTGGATCTGCGACGTTTCCTACTGGGTGTTACAAACTTCGTAGCAAACTTAATATACCCTATTCAGTGTTCGGTACGTACCAATGAAGTTATATACACTAGGGTTTAGCATGAAATATAGGTGTATGCGAGTTCTACGGCGGAAATGCAAGATTCTACACTCTTCATTCGTGTGCAAAGCGCTGGAAAGCTTGCTTGCTTACTATAAAAAAAAACAACTTTGCAAAAAAAAAAGTCCACAATTTGGTGGATCATTCCCGAATAGTATGTAGACATACCTACCTATACATATAAATATAATATAATCTAAATAAGTACAGTGGCAAACTTTTTTCTTGTTTTTTTTTTTTGGCAAATCTCTTAGTATTTATCTTTTGGTTTACTTTTCCAAAAACAAACAAATTTACATGTGTATTTTCTAAATTTTATTTATCCTTTGAAATACGATACATACATACGTAATTGTGTATGTGCAACTAAATGTGTGTGTTTGTTGCGAACTATTTTAGTTATTTAGTCGTTTTGCAACTTACATGCATATATACGTACATATTTATCACATACATACATATGTATAAATAATTTTTTATTTTTATTTGTCTTTCCGCATTAATTGCACACCGCCTATTGATTAGTTTAAACAAAAAAGGAGTTGATTCTTGAACAGATATGCGTACGATCTGTTTATTTATATGTATACGACGAAATATTAATTTATTATGCTAATGTTGAGTGCTTTTGTGTCATAAAATATTTAATTTAGGCATGTTTAATTGATTTTGCTCTCGAGTGTTCTTGTAGTTAAATTTTTTATACTATTTCTATTTTCACATTATTATTTAAGATTTTATTTTTTTTGCTGTTATTGACTACAAACTTGTTTGCAATAAGCACGAGTTAAAGTTTTCTCAAATTTTATTTTTATATTTCTTTCTATAAAATACTTGCTTTATAAAACTAGTAAGTATGTATATGTTCAGCTTAATTTATGTTTACTTTGCTTTGATTTTTTTTATTTATTATTTATACCCGCTGGTATTTTATAAAAAAAAAAATTTATTTTTTGTTAGCCTTTTCACCTAATCTCAATGTCTTCTCATGGTACGCCAATTAAACCAAGATATTTTTGGGCTTAACTATTTTCATGGTAAATTGCTTGTTTAAACATTGCAGACTTCTGAATTGTAGTAAAAAAATGTTTGTTTACAAAATGCAAAGATGTGTGCGAGGAATATTAACTTTTTAGTACGCTAACTAAGTATTCAATTGTTACTTAGATAAATTATATGTAAAAAATTTCGCCAAACAAAAATGGTACCAGACCGGCTTAACGAAGATATATTTAAGACTTTTATAAAACTATTTTTAATAATAAATTATTATTATGCTAATTAAAAATAATTATATATATATACATATTTATATATAAAAGTAACTCTCGAGCAACCACTCACCGTTATCGCATTTGCGCTGTCACCGCTTCAGAGCTAATAATGGTTAACAGCATGAACTTGTTGCCACAATTAATGTTGTGATTGTTTTTGTAATAAAAAAAAGTTGCGTTGTTGTTATTGTTTTTTTAATAAAAAAAAAAAGTTGCGTTGTTGTTATTGTTTTTTTAATAAAAAAAAAAAGTTGCGTTGTTGTTATTGTTTTTTTAAT